GCGCAATAGTGCCACTGGAGGAGAGCCGGTCGCTGACGTTGACGCTACTTTAGAGGCTTTGTCAACACACCCCTCATGGACGCCCTCGATACAGAACTTGGCTTCCAACTCCCGAACAACGCCGTGCTCGGCCGACGCGCCGACCCTATTGAGATAGCGAAAATCATCCAGTTCCTGCTAAGCAGCGACGCGAGCTACGTTACTGGCTCTGTGTGGCAGGTCGATGGCGGCATGCTGTGTTGAGTTGAGATAAGGGAAAAGAAAGACGTGCAGACGCGAATTGGTGTTGCAGAAGCGAGAGTGGGTACGAGAAGAGGTCGCTATACAAGCTCTGGGGTTAGTTTGGGTTTCTGCGATGGGTGTGGAGTATTCCCACTTTGGGAAGACGACGACGGTGGAAGCGAGGCAAGCTTATGCTTACTTGCCGAGATGTCATACAACTGTCTTTTTCAGCCTTACAAAAAGCAATGTGATTTCCGTCGTTGAGCTGGGTACACATGCCGCAGACCCGTACCAAAATTAAGAGAGTCGACGTTAATGCGAGTCCCGCACGCATGTGCTATTCTGGGAAAGGGTACCTAGGTAGTTGCAATTCGTTTTCCTCAGATACACGAGAGGCGTTGTGGAGTTGGAATTGTCAGCATTGAATTGCTTTTTGGTTACTATCGATAAAGACGCGCCGACACTTTCAATGATGGCATGATCAGACAATGCACGCTCGGTTGCGGACTGTTGTTAGACAAGCGGTAGTGCTCTACTTACGCGTCAAGTGCCGCTGCATACCCCTTCTAACAGGGCAGCGATCTGCACCCCAGCCGTGCTGCTTGCGAATCCGCGGCTCGGAAGGTATTGCGCCAACCTTAGAGTTTGTAGATCTCGTTTTCGTGGCAGGTACGGCTAGAAGTAAAAAAGCAAGAAAGCAATGAGTCGATCTCGGAGAGCCTGCCTAGTGTCTTGCTGAGTTTCCCTGGCTGGGCAAAGTGCTACTTTCTTGCTTCTTGTCGCCTGAGTGAGGTTGGGGAAGAGGGAGGGTTGGAGCAAAGTTAGACTAGTATCAATGCCGCGGACCCGAACCAAAAGTCGAGCGAAGGCGTTGACCCGGCCCAGAGATCGTGAGCCAAAGTCCATACCACCCCCATACGTGCGGGATGCACCGACGTCGAACCAGTGCTCAATGTGGTTTTCTAATCATCAAATGCCATGACATCGAAATAACGGCATGGGCAGAAAATAGTAGCCTCGAACGCAGTGTTAAATGACTCGTGGTATTTCATTTCACAAGCGCGAAACTCTAAATCAACAGAATAGTTCCCCTGCCAATCACAGGCGCCGTCATCTCCCCATGGACCTGAAAACCTTCTCCCGACGAGGATCAGTGGGCAAGGCTTGAATGACGACAGAGTCGAGCTCGCGATTCGATCCGTTCGAGCCAATGCGATCATGGTACTTCCACTCCGACTCCGTGCTTCGGATGGAGAGCGCATCCGGGGACTTTTGTCTCCTGTCGTTTCCCCGCACGCGATCGGCAAGGTTCTGGGATGCGGAGATGAACCAGGGGAGTCTGCCGGCGGGTTTGACTGGGTTCCTGAGTTAGCGGCTGGTATTTGGTGATGGGAAAGTGCGGCGAGATGGGATGCGCGATGTGATGAAACTTACTAGTCCAGTATTCACGATTATCTTCGTCTTCGGGAACGATGTATCCGCCGGATATAAGCTTTGTCAAATAGATCATGCCGTTGAGCGCCGTGTACACCATCAAGCCCGCAATAAGACCGTAGGCTGCGCTGTATCCGAATGGGATGAACATTACGGTTACGAAGGCTGGGACGGCGTCGCCGATGTATCGCCAGTTGATGGAGGAGATTTGTCGCATCATCAGGCAACCAACCTATATTTACGTTAACGCTAGCAATATGGAGGTGGTGCCAGGTGACTTACGAGAACCAAAGTGCTTCCAGTAGCCCATGGTGGGATCGAAGCGAAGATAGGTGCGAAGAACATCGAGATGAGGAAGCAAACGCCACAGGTCATGGCAGTCAGTCCTGTTTTCCCGCCCTCTGCAATTCCTGCTCCACTCTCGATGAAGGCAGTGACGGGTGAGCAGCCGAGAAGTGCACCCATGGAGATGCAGAATGCGTCTGTGCAATAGGCTATCGTTGATCGCGGAAAGTCGCCAGTCTCTGCGTCCACCACTCCGGAGAAACGTGCCATGGAATAGAGCGTAGCTGTGCAGTCGATAATGTCAACGTATAGGAAAGTGAAAAGAGCGAGTGCGAAATGGCCAGGTGCTGCGTTGACGTTCCAGTCCAGGGCGTTCAATGTGCGGTTGATGGGATGGAAGTCCACGACCTTCTTGAAGAACTCGAAGCGGTTATCGCCGACCTCAGTGTAGGGGAAGAAAGTGACTGAAGTGCCTCGTCTGTATGCATGTTAGCCTTCTGAGCTTGACTGAGATGATGAAAAAAGCTCACGGCCATGAAATGATTGACACAAGCAAGATAGCTAGAATCATGGCGCTCTTGACCTTGTATGTCATCAAGTAGGCTGTCAAGATACCACCGCCAAGGATGCCTAGCCACATCTGCCAGACATGTTAGCAATATTTGATGAGCCGGCATCATATGACCTACAGTGGGTGAAGTCATCTTGTGACTTATGCATGAGCCAAACTCATCCTTGTATTGATCAGGACACCCCGCGATATCAAGTGGGGTACTCTTTGAGCCCGCAATGGCACCAATGCCCGCGTTGTTGCTCAGTCCGACTTCTGCAAGAAAGAGTCCTATACCACATGCCGCGGCGATCTTGAGCGATACTGGTATGATCTTGACGAGCCATTGTCGCATGCCAATCAAGGACAAGAAGATAAATATGAAGCCCTCTGCAAAGACAGCAGTGAGCGCAAGGTTGTAGGAGATGAGGCCTTGGCCATGGAAGCCGACGATCTGGTAGGCGAAGTATGCGTTGAGGCCCATACCCGGTGCAAGACACACGGGCATGTTGGTGAAGAACCCAAAGAGGAAAGAGCTGAAGCCGGCTACGGCAGCTGTAGCGGTGATGAGGTTGCGGTTCAAATCTGAGCTTGGATCAGCTGAAGTTGTTGAGAGTGTAGACGTTTCCTACCCTGCTTGCAAATGAGGTATTCCGTGTTCGTTAAGCACAGAGGGTCTGTGGCATCATTGCACACGCAATTACCGCCTGTATCAGCGAGGATAGTAGCCTAGGCTCGTTAGTATTTTGCGAGACATAATCCTTCGAGAGCTTTACATTGACCGCGATGATGTATGCCATTGTGAAGAAGGACGTAAGTCCTGCCCGCACTTCGGTGGTGAACTTCGTATGCAGGATCTCATCTTTCTGTGAAAACAGTCAGTCATGTCCGAGATATTACTACAACTGTCAACATACATGCCCGCAACCGGAGAGACGGAATATCCTGCCGAAAGTCGACCGGCCGACGTAGACATTGAACGAGTGGATTGAGGAACGTATGGACTCCATGTTGCAGACGTGAAGTTGGTCGCCAGTTGGGGGTTTCAATCTCCAGTATAAGAGATGCAGTGATCGGCAGCAGATAGCCCTGCGTTGACTATATTTGTGTCACGCACGTCCAGTATAAGCAAACATGAACGATTCGGAACGAAAAGGTATATGGTATTGATCAATCGCCAATGCGATCGCTTAAGGTGGGGCCATAAGCAAAGGGCCTTCCCGAAATGCAATGAAAAGTATCGACGACAGGGCGAGCTGGCTAAACATCAGAGACACTCGAGGCAATGTGATATCAACCGTAAGGGATGGGCGGGAACGACGAGGGTAGGCATGCGGCGCGGCAGGGGAAAAAAGCACGATCTAAGAAGCTTTTGGACGGAGTGACGGCATGACAACCTAAGAGGGCCGCCGCAAGCGTAGTACAAGTGAATTGAACGGCGGCAGGAGCGTTGTCATGCAGCTGAAGCGGAGACTCGTGCAGCGTGCTGGAGTGTGGCAGTCTAGGCTCGTACTCTGGTGGCTTGACGGAAGCGAGTCAGGGGCCGGGGAGCCTAGCTAACGCTAGTCAGGCACGCCCGATGTCGATCAGACTGCATCATGACTGGCCAAAGGGATGATGTCTGGTGCCCCTCCCGCATCTGCAGCAAAATGACGGGGCGACTAAAAGCCTTAGTAGAACCTTGTGCCTCTCCCTTGCCGATTGCTTCTGACAACACAGACAGCAACTAAGGGCAGATCACTTACAGTTCACGCCGCCCTGGCGGTTCAGCGGCCTTGCAGCTGATTTTGTCCATGGCACCGGTGTCCGTCTTTGATCCCACGGAACTGATCAGAGGGATCAGCTGTGATCGTCGGCCTAGTTGGGGTTGCAATTCGTAGCCCGCGGGTGCAAGTCAAGGTCGGCGGCATCATATCGGTTATTCAACCTAGCAGCCGTCATGTTGGCATGTGCGAATCGTATCCAGCCACAAGCGGTTCTGCAAAACCTTGGGCGGAGACACCGAAAGTTGGAAAAGTGAGCCCGATAAGCCAGCCAGTCGCAATTGCTGTACAACCCGAGTATTTGCTTTTTCGGGGAAGAACCGAAGGCAAGAGGCGTTGCTTTGCACGCTCATACCACGTGTAGGTGTATCTTTCCCCAGCAGTATGGTCAACAACCCGAAAGCTCACGGTGCGCTTAGTGGTTTTGCGCCGTGGAGGAAGCACGGCAGAGCACTAGCGCATGAGTTCGGATTAGGGAAGCCTTGATAGTAGTCCTAAAAAGGTCAATAACGCCACGGTCCGAGTGGTGCGACAGCGTTTCGATGCCGCGGAAACATGGGACCGTTGCGTAACTCGCTTTACGGTTGCGACACCCTCCACCCAGGTACTTGACTACTTTTCCGTCGAGAGGTGCGGCTAGCCTTGAGTGCTGGATAGCCTTCAGTCGATCATTCGCTCCCACCCCTTGAAAGATCGACTTATAGTGGCCCCGCTGCACTCCGCTAGACTCGCCACTGTGATCAAACATGTTCGCAACCGACTTACCACTGGATCAAGAGGCGGAGTCTGTTGGAGCGCGGAGGGAGCGAAAGACCAAAGAGCGATCCATCAGGTCAAACTCCATCCATACTTCACGAACGTCCACTAGTTCCGCAAACTCTGGCTCTACCGACCGTGAGCAATGGTGGTCTTCAGGCCTGAAGAAAGCAAAGAGTATAAAACCCAGGATACTACGACCATCAACCGGACAAACCACAGATTCTCAGAGAACCGCGAAGACCGTGCCAGCCGAGTTGGACTTGACCCGCACGCACAAGCTCAAGGATCCCGCGCTGCACCCTAGCTGGACATACACAGGCACTATTCCTGCGAAACTTCCATCTGGTGATTCTCTGCATCCGCAACAGGATGAAGTACAGGAGCTGGAAGGTGAAAAGTCCTCTCGAAAGACAGACTCTACGAGATCGCGCGTCTCACGTAAGTCATTAAGCATCAGCGTACCACGATCATGTGCTGAAGACATATTCCAGATGACCGAAAGCGCTCGGTGAGGACTCCGCCGGTAGTTGACAGCAGCGATGACGCAACGCAAGCAAGCCGCGTCAGTCCTAGATCTTTTGTTACGAGCAGAACTCGTGCCAGTTCCGAGACCCCTGAAGATAGAAGTGCCCCGCCAATGTCAATGCCAGGAGCGAAGAGGGTTGACAGCGGGTAAGTAATGTTTCCACCAACGTCGGTCTTATGCTTATTGTCTGTAGGTGGCCACAGTCAGCTGAAACCGAAGCAATGCCCAAAGTTGAAGCACTCGAGCTGCATGACAGCTTCCAGGAGAAAGAACACGACGACGCTAAGCATGTCTCAAAAGCGAGCGGTGGCGCAAATTCCGAGGTCTCCTGCAAGCCTCTCTCGCAATGGCAATGTCTCACTCCACGAGGGGTACCTTCGGAAATACAGTTGCAGTCGCGGTTGACCCCTAAGAAGGTTGCAGTCGCCCAGAATACCACACCGGACCTCGGCCGTTTTACACGATTTATCCGGAGAATGGAGGGAGCCGGTCCCAAAGTCATCCTGGACCGACTGAAGGAAGATTGGCAGTGGAGCACAGGCGGAGACGTTGATGAGGAGGTACGTGTCGTCGTTATAACTCTGCACAGACCTTTCCTAATAGTAGAAACAGTTGGTCCTCGAGAAACAATTGTGGCTGTTGACGGGGTTCCAAATGCAGAATTTGGGTCGGGAACGGACCCTGCCGAAGCCCGAATGTAACACCGGGAGGATCCTTGAACTCTACGGTAATCTCTGTAAGTCCATGTTGTGCCCTTGCGTTACGCTGCTGTGCAATCTCTAACGGTCGATGTCAGCTGAGGTATACCAACTGTCGGCAATGCATCCGTCCCAAACAGTGCACTTCCTCACTACCAAACCCCAGCGACGTGTTCAGTTACCGGGCAACGTATCCTACTTGACAGTGCGCAAGCTTGGTGCTGTTCCACTGCCTTACCCAGAGGACTACTTCTCGCATATAAGAGCATCGACGTTGCCATCGCTGGTACCCTCTGCCATATTACCGGAACTGTTCAGCGAATGTCACAAGCTGCTCGCTACCGGTGGTTTCCTAGAGATCAGAATCATGGATGCTGCCCCGGTACGCAAGACTACCGGCCCATTGATGCGAACCTGGATCGAGGACAGACTCTCCGTCAATCTGGAGCGAGACTTCAGATGCTCAAAGCCATGTTCGCTGGTCCCCAGTTGGCTGACAGCTGCCGGATTCGAGATGCTCGTTCAGGAAGACAACCAGAGCATGACGCTACCGTGCGCTATCGACTCGGATACTGCCAATGTGAACGAAGAGCTTTCCATGATCATCGGCCGGGCCTTCTGGAAGGACATATGGGGTAGCTTCGTAGACGACGCTCAAGACGAACCGAAGTGGTGGTGGGAAGACGAAGAGATCGTTCAAGAATGTGTAAAGCGCCAAACCTTGCTCGAGTGCAGGACGATCTTTGCATACAAGCGATGAGCGCCGTACTTTGTGGCACCGTGGTTGATACAATGTAATAGTACTGAAGGTTTAGCGGGATGGAAATGGCGTTGGTGGAGATATGGGGCGTCTGTACGATAGGATACCCGACGCGTGTTGCTGTCACTACCGCTTACGATTATACCGCCTTTAGACCTGTAGTTAGATAGCGATGCATTTGGTACGCGTACATTGATGGTTGGATGTGCGAGCCGATCAATGGAGCCCTAGTTAATCCCTACCCCGCGCTACCCATATGGGTATTAGCGTCCTCACACGTGACAGCGTGCCTCCTGGGCATTATCGTACCTTGGTAATAATGGTTATTACTATCATCTTATTCTTTCTCATATCGAGTCGCAAAGGATGGAACCCGCTGTGTACCACCAGAAGTCGAAATCCGGTAGCCGCTTTGTTTCGCTCCGCCTCCCCCAACCGTCCGTGCCACGCCCTTCGTTTCAGCTGCAAGGTCCGCGACGCGTCGTGGCTACATGATCAGCACTATGTCGGCACAACCGAGACTTCTCCTGCACATCTCTTTCATTCCACAGTGCCTTCGGTCTGCTTCCCCTACAGGTTGATTAATACTTGCATCACTCCTTCATAATTTAGCGTAGCCCCTACACAATCGTGCGGAAATCTAGATCGGCCCCCGATCGATATATCCGAATTACGACCGCTGAACGACATCAGCAAACATGTTCAGTTCTCTAGGGACAAAGATAGCCCTCCGAAAAGCCGGACTGGGCGGTGTATCGCTACCAAAAACCGACGGCTTGTTTGGGAATGGCAACACGAAGAAGGGGAACACAAATGGCGCCGAGGGAGGAGACACAGGTTTCGCCAACCCATTCGCAAACGTACAATGGGGTGTACCAAAAGCCCTACAATCTTGGACGACACCTCCACCACCGCAGAACCCGGTGCGCAAGCCACCAAACATAGGAGACCGCGCACAAAGCCATCCTAAGTTACAATTTCCTACAGCCGATGGGCGGCCGACTATACTGCTGTTCCTGAGGTTTTGCGGATGTCCTTGTGAGTAGTCATCATCCCAGAGGCTGTATTCGGATGCAACAGTAGAAGTTAGACATTTGCTAATAGCTGCAACAGTCTCAGAGAAACTCTTCCTCACGCTCCGAACCCTTGCGAACAAGCACACTTCCATCCACTTCGTCGCAATATCGCACTGCACACCTGCTGCAACTACAGAATGGGTCAAAAAACTCGGCGGGGCCTGGAATGTAGACGTAATAGTAGACCAAGACCGGGAACTATACGCGCTATGGGGTCTAGGCATAGCGACTTGGGGTCATGTTCTGCATCCCAGGAATGGCTACAACCAGGTCATGCTCAGGAAGAATGAGGGGGTCTGGGGTCAACTGGTTGGAGAAGGCGCATGTAGATGGCAGGTTGGAGGCTCATATTCGGTGGACGGGAGGGGTGTGGTGACATGGGGTGGACCGATGCAATCAGCAGACGAGGCGATACCATTCGAACACGGCGTGATGTCTCTTGGATATGGAGAGACGAGGATATAATGCCAAGGCACATATCGGAATTGGGGACCTCTTAGATGGGTACCCAGGCTGCCTGGGTTCTACATGAGGGCATGATCGATGCACATGAACGCTCATCCAGATGGGAATGGTCTACATCTTTCTTGTGCAGTACTTGCCGGCTTCGACTTGGCTCTTCCAGAAGAAAAGCGTACAATCAACAATCGAAATAGTGACATACTTGGGCAAACATCTTAGGGTTTACATGACTACAAAATCAGCTTCGGTTTGTTGGACAAAATTTATTATCGGACTCTACTGAAGGTCATGACTGCTGCGCCTGAAGAAAGCGTCTCGGAACAGCTTCAAAATTGTCAACTCATCGCCGTATTGCGAGCTGAAGCGATTCGTGAGTAATGAATGGCCTATTATGCGAAGTAAATATAAACGGAACAGGAGAGTTGACGTCTATATAGGACACATTGCTGCCATATTCAGCCACGACTATCCCAATTACCACCATTTCGAAGTCCTGACTGGTGCAAAGACCATTGTCGACGATAAGGGCGAAAGACAGGCTATCTACTCCACAAGAGCGCTAGTGTACCTAGATTCTGGTTGCAGCAAGTGGGATTTGGTTGCTGAAGGTGGAAAGAGTTGTTACACACCTCTGGAGGCGATGGAGAACTTCCTCGGTGGGGCCATGGTCAGATTTGAGGAGGTAATAGGTAAGTTGTTGCCATACATCTAAACAATTGCGATACCTAATGGAGCGGTCTAACTTTAACGTAGCTGAGCGAGAGGGAAGCACTATACGAGAGTATAGTATATGGAAGTATAGTCCAGATCCGGATGAATATCAAGATCAAGCACATTATGCTTGGTAGAGAGGAGGACACAATTCGTAGTTACGTTCTCGTTGTTATTTGCTGCGGATGTATTTTCAGCCGTGATGAATAGCACCCTTCGCTGCATAGGAGAGCCTATGATATACATTCCTCATGCGTGATCCCCGGGTGTTAGATGTATTGGATCTGGCGTAGTTATCCTGCCAATGTGGGGTTCATACTAGCGTGGTGCAGCAACGGCGCCTTCGGAGCAGTCGCGTCCTCACCTTTCATCACCACACCACATCTTCGTACAGTCTGACTGCATCAGCTCATCAAACATGAGATACCGGAATTAGATTTTGAGAATGGCGCTGTAGCAGGGCGCGATACGCCAAATCAGGGAGACTTGACGACCTGTGGGTTTCCTGGACATTTCCTCCCCACCACAGGCGCTATCCACGGGTTATCATAACCACGGCGTTCTCATACAGACTATACAGTGAAGCAAAGACATGATACTAAGTAGGGTATGGAATTTCGGAGAGGTGAGCTTGCTGGATTCAATCCGGAAACTTTCTCGGAGACATTCCGTCACTACCCCTCTAATATTGATCGGGGACTTTACCTAAGATACTATGCGCCACACAGTCCCTTCTTTGCATATTTCCAAACAGTCTGTACCTTAATGGTGAGCATGTTGGACAACGAAATTGTATCGGAGCGTTATGCATCGGAGCTTTATGCCGCGGAGCTGGTGTTCGTGGTGTATAAAGCAGGCAAGTTCGACTGATCTCAAACACAACACCCACCGCAAGCTCACATCGTCTTTTACAGTCATACCCAGATACTCAGGACACCTCTTCTCCCTATACATTTGCCTCCACAGCAACATATTGAAGCCTCATCAAGATGGCGCTCCGATCTCGACCCCAGATATTCGACGTACTCATCATCGGCTCAGGTCCTGCAGGACTTAATGCGGCGCTCACTTGCGCAAGAACACGCACCAAAGCCCTCGTATTCGACAACCAACAGTATCGCAACGAAGGTGTCACGCACATGCATACTGTAGCGTCCCGCGACCACTTCAACCCCAGAGAGTTCGGCCGCATAGCCCGTGAACAGATCGAATCCCGATACGATAGCGTATGGTTTCAATCCGCTACAATCACCCATGCATCGAAGAAACAACTGTCGTTGCCAGATCAGAAGGACTTGTACGATGGCTTCGAAGTCAAGGACAGTGAAGGCCACTCGTACGAGGGCAAGAAGATCATCCTGGCCACTGGTTCGAAGGATATCCTTCCCGACGTTCAAGGTTACAAAGAGAACTGGCCAGACCACATATACCAATGTCTAGCTTGCGATGGCTACGAGCAAAGAGGGAGTGCAGTCGGCATACTGGATTTCGATAATCCCGGATACGCACATATGGTCCAAATGGCAGTCCCTCTAGAACCTGTCTCAATTACCTTGTTTACCAACGGACCCATCAAGAAGGAAGCGCCAATGCAAGACGCTTTGAAGCTCGCAAAGGCTTTCGGTGCAACGCTCGACGAGCGGAAGATCGTTCGCATGGTGAACAACGGCCCAAGTCACATAGATGGCGTCACAATCCATTTTGAGACTGGAGAACCAGTCACTCTCGGTTTCCTCGTTCACAGACCTATTACGGTCAATCGCGCGCAACATCTCATCGAGCAGCTTGGCGTCGAGACAGTGGATCCAGCGATGGGCGGACACATCAAGATCGCAAACGCAATGTTCAACGAGACCAGTGTCAGAGGTGTGTTTGCAGGCGGTGATACTATGGTCATGATGAAGCAGGTTGCGATTTCCATGGCGGATGGACTCAAAGCTGCCGCAGGTGCAGGAATGCAGATTGCACAGGAGAAGGCTAAGGGTTTAGCCAAGGCTTTTGAAGAGAGGGAGGGTACGATCGAGGGAGAGAAAGATAAGGCGGAGGTGGCTTCGTACTAGAAGCGAGGGCTAAACAATAACCATAAGTTGAAGAGGGCCCGATCTTGTAGTCTTGGAAATCAGCAAGTGGCAGGTAGAATGGTCAAGGTGTAATCAAGTCGCTTCCCTGAACGTATAGAATGTATTTTCCCCTTTTAGATTCATAATGCATCAATTCAATGTCTATGTGTTAGTCGAGTGGCTGGTCCGTACCCTGTACCTTCTTCAATCGCATCAAAAGCAGGAGCATTCGTATCCAGCGCACCATCCCTCGAATACCCCCAGCACCACGACACTTGCCACGTTTTCCACACTCGCCATGTTCAAACTCTCAGATGCCCACATGTTTCCTCTCAGCTTTCTTCCACGTAACATCTCGAGTCCAAACCTTCGATCGCACCAGAACCGCTCAGACAACTCTAGTCATGTTCATCGCTCAATTCTCTGACCTAAAAGCCCGCATCAACGACCTTATTGTTAAAAGCACGTCCATACCTTCATCCTCATCCGAAACGTCTTCTTCCACTAGCAACAATGCCAGCAGAGAACCGGCGCCCCCGCCAAAATACGCCATCAAGAAACCATCGATACGCCTCTTCCCTGAGACACAAGCGCCACTGCCGACGATCAATGTTGTGACAAAGCACAGTCACGCATTCAATAGCTCGAAAGCAGCAGGATTAGACAAACTGGAGCAACTACAATTCGCTGAAGCGGTCAGAGGGTGGATCATCGGTACGTGCGCACGTAGTATCATCTACAGGTCTGCCCCAGATGGAACAAAAGAATGAAGCATGAGGCATGTTGAGAACCATGAACCGACCAGCTAACAAGTTATCGATAACTAGAAACTGCGCCTCTTCTCGTTACAGAAAGCTCCAACAACACTACTTGCTACAAGGTCATATTCACCGCAAGGAAAGCACGTACAGAGATGCATACAGCCCTTAGGTCAATGACATCTACCACTTTGTACACCGCGAAACTGTTCGCCGTCACACCAACTACATCGGGGAATAGCTGGAGGCTTGTTGAGCAAAGCCACGAAATGGATTCCCTGGTCGATGCGATAGACCACCTATGGGACAAAGCTATGCATAGGGTGGGCCGTTCGACTGGTAAGTCTCTCATATTTGTCTTTGTAGGGAGTGTGGGACGTCGAGTGCTGATACCTGGGCAATTGGTAGGTGTGATGGAAATTGGCGCGGTGGTGAAGGAGGGTAAGATGACAAGGGAAAGAGAGGAGAAGATTGAGAGGAAGAGTGTGGGGTGGTAAACCAAGCTAAGCTTTGGCGGGTATGAAATTGTTGGTTCGAGGATGGCCAAAATTATCCATTTCGCAAAGCGTGTCAGTAGCTTCCTTGCATATCCCAATTCCATCACACAGCAAACATCTCTAGAGCCTACAATCCTCCCAACACCCTCAAATATCTCACTCCTCCTTCTTATGGATCCTCGGTAGACCCAACCAAAGCAGTAGAATCACGCCCAACAGCGCCAGAATAATCGGCTGTAGCACCTGTACACCCTTGGCTTGTGCGATAGCTCCAACTGCGAAAGGGAAGATGGCAGCGCCACTTCCGCCAAAAGCCGCCGCGAAGCCAATAGCACCGACGTGCAAGTGGCGCGGTAGTAGCTTCGTAGCTGCGACGACTACAGCCGGGAACAAGGGACCGAGGAAGAAGCCCTGAAGAGCTACGGCGACGGCCGAGACATAGAATTGGGGGACAAGCCAGAAGATGAGTTCGAGGGCCATTGTGAGGGGGAGGTAGATCTGAAGAACCCCAGTTAGCACACATCAGACAAGAAAGAAGGGAGGAAGGAATGAAGAAACCGGAAACAAACTCACAGTAATAGCCAACTTCTCCCCCAACCTCGGCGTAACAAACCCCAGCACAATCCTCCCCACCGTAATCCCCATCCAAAACCCCGTCGCCACCATGCCACTCGCAAACTCCTCTCCATCCCTCACTTCAAGCATAAACTTGACAATCCAGCCACCTAGCGCAACTTCAATACCCACGTATCCGAGTAGAAAGAGTGCGCAGAGCCACGTGACGCGTGCGTGGGGCAGACGGATAAGCGCTTCTTTCATGCGGTTGTCTTTCGTGCCGCTGGTGCGCGGGTTGGCTGCGCGGAAGGCGGCGCCGGTTTCGCGCCAGAAGGCGGTTGTTGAGGTGGCGAGTTCGATGGCTGCCATTGCGATCTAAAGGTGTTAGAGATGGGAGAATGAGGAGGGATGAGGGAGGGGACAGTACCATGACGTAGTAGAAGGTGTACCAGGGTAGTCTGCTTCCTTTTGTGATCATAGTCGTTGCTATCAAGGGGGATAGAACGGCACCTACGCCGTAGAAGGCGTGGAGGAAACCGAGAACTTCGTTTGGGTTCGCCATGTTGCCGATCCAGGCATCTGTGGGTTGTATTGTCAGTCGAAATGTTCTGTCTTTCTGTTCTTCACCTTCTCTTTTATGGGAGCAGAGAAGAAGAGATTAGAATACTCACTCCACGCCGCATCAGCAAGTCCATTCCCGAACCCAGCCAACATGAAAATAATGACGAGGACCGGATACGGAGGGTGCACCGCAATAACGATGTACGCGATGAGATGGCACGTCGGCGCTATAACCGCAACGCCTCTCTGGCCGAACTTGAGGTGAATGCTGTTGTTCAATAACGCGGAAGCTGTGTAGCCGACGAGTGGAGACAAGAATACTAGCGAAATGACGACGAAAGTCAGACCGTAGTATTCTTGCAACTGAAATCGTTTGTTAGCACGCGCTTCTTTCCCCCTTCTCAAGAGTCGCGACTTCTACACTCAGAAGAACGACGTTGACTTACATAAGGAATCAAAGCACCATACGCCGCATCATTACTCCCCATAACGACAAAACTCCAAAACGCCGCCATAGTCTTGAACAAATTCGATCGTGGATGGTTCCATCGTTCCAATTTGGCTGGCGCTTGTGTCGTTGGCGACGGCAGATTCTCTATCGGATCGCTTTCCCGAGCACCTTTTGTGTCTGAGAGTCGCAGGCCGCCTGTACTGCTCGAACTAGCGATCTGTGCATCTTGAGGTTTGGAGATATAGCTCGATACGTCTTGGAGTTCGATGGGCTGCTCGAGGCAGGTTGACGAGGTGCCGTTTTGGTGGTGCAGCGCCATTTTTGGGTTGTTGGGATGGCGACGGTTGACAGACTAGTTGCGACCTACTGTCATTCCAAGGGACGGCGTGGATGAAGAAGAAGTTCGATGTCGAAGCTTTGGAGTCAGAGGGATATAAAGCCAAGAGTAGCGGTAAAAGTAAAAAGGGCTGACGAGATACGCGCAGATACGAGCTTAACCCAAATCCTCCAAAGGCAGGTATGACGTTTTCCACCTTCAAGCTCAACAACCTCAATACCAAGAAGGGCGCACGACAAGACAACAACCACTCGACGAGGCCTTTATGTCCCCGATCTCAACTTCAGGCCCATAACCTCGCAGTCTCGCAACTATTACTCAAAGCAGCGGAAAACTGCGAGTAACCACTCCATCTAGACGATATCTTTTTAGCCACCGCCGACGTTCTCTAGCACACGCGCACAAGGCGGGGAATGAGTGGGATCCCCACACTTTGCAGCCGGTCCGACATACGGCTAATCAGCAACGAGGTGGCTAGTGGATCGAACTGCCCGGGTGGCCAAAAAGGGAAGGGGACGGTTGATCTTCGGAAGGTGCGAACTTTCCGTGAGTAAACCGCCGCTAGCTATCTTGAAATTACTACAGTACAACTACGGCCATAACTAAAGCCTAGAGATCTGGTAGAGAGATGGAGTATGACACCGCAACTTCGAAAACATACACATGCGTTTGAATGTCAAGGCGTGTTATTAATCACATTGTTACGGACCAACTCAAACCCGACTAAGACCTCGCACCAAACCCAAAGCGTCGACAAACTGCGAGGACGCTGAAACCAACACAGTCACAGCTGCAAGACAACTAGTCGCGTCACTCTACGTCGCAATCCACGTCGCAAAAACTGTGACATGTCACTTGTATCAACCGCAGTTCCAGATGTGAAAATCGTTAATCGTTCTCATTTCATGCTATACCTGCTATTATTACCTCCATTTCTGAGCTGATTCGCGGAATCGACGCTCACCCGTTACCATGCATCCATCCATGCTGGGGGTATCCTGTTGTCTCTTCTCTCGTGCTCTCTGTCTCTCTACAACTGCCCACCACTGGCCACATGCTGAAAAGGAAAGAAAATGAATAGGAAAAAAACCGTTCTTGAGATCAACGCTTGTATTTCAACGACTGTGAGGAAAGGTAAATCGTCCATATACACATACTCGCTTTCGACAGTCGCGCCCTTCGCTCCTGTAATGCTTCTGCTCGCCCACTGGCCCCTTGGTCGTTCAGCCCCTGTCTTTTCTCTTTTTGGAAATGATGATAATGAAATGGGAAAGACAATGCGTTCTGAAAGTTCGTCTCGTCATGTGGGTGAAGACGTCTATGAGGGCTGGATAACGGAGGGGCCGGCAAGGACCTCGGCATCGGCAACGGACTCGCTCTTGGTGATCATCATGTAGACTTCTCCCTGGAGGCCCTGGGGAACCATGCAGTTACCATCGGCGATCTTGGTGAATTGGTTGCCGCCACTGTGAGATGTTAGATTGTGAATCATTGTAAGGGAGTGTGTGGAGTAACTTACGGTCCGACGAAAGCGCAGAAAGAGGCACCGGCAGGCTGAGCGGGGTCGGCAAGCTTCAAGTTCTGGCCAACGGTAGCCTTCTCGGGGTTCTGGAGAGCGATGGCAGGGAAGGCCTGGATGTTGAGGTTGGAGCCTTCGGGGCAGGACTTGATGAACTGGGCGGCGAGGGTGAAGACGGCGCGGGGCTGGAGAGCAGTGTCGAAAGCGGCGGGGACGGGCTCGGCGCCGGATGCGATGCGGATGAAAGCCTGGTGGCGGGCCTCGACAGTGACGATGGAACCAGCGGCGGAGAGGATGTCGGACGAGTTGACGAGAGGAGCGGCACCGAGGTAGGCGGAGACACCGACGGCCTCAAGGACACGGGCGGTCTTGACCATGGAGTCGGCGCTGGTAAGGGCGGCGTCGAAGTTGTATTGGCATGGCTCGACGGGCTTTGCGCCGGCTCCTGCGATGGCGGACTGGAGAGTAGTGACGTGGGTGGCCTCAGTCTGGCCAACACCCATGAGGGACTTGACTTGACCTTCACTCAGACCGAGAGCCATGAAGTCGGACATGGAGAACTTGGCGAAACCCTGCTTGTAGTATTCCGATTCGAGATGCTCGGCGGTCAGAGCGCTGTGGTGATGGTTAGATCCAGCTCATTGTGATCGTTGATTCAAAGCTACTTACAAGTTGAGGATGTCGACATCGCTCAACATTCCTGCTGCGGCCGGTGCAGCTGCAGCCGGTGATGCGGCGGCAGCCTCGCTACCAGATCCAGCGGTCTCAGTGATGGCAGCTGGCGCAGAGGAGGTGGCAGAGGCGGCAGCACTCGACATGGAAGCCATCTCTTGACGGGCGTAGTTTGCGGGGGCGGCAGCCACGAGAGGCGCCAGGGCAACGAGGCCCTTGAGGATGGTTGATACGCTAGGCATGTTGGTTGAATTAGGTTTGTTGGATTGTTTTCGAGTAGACAAGCTCGTAAAGAGAGACCGCCAGCAAAGACTTGCTTTGAATTCGATTATTAAAAATTGTCTAAAGTCCAACCAGGGACTGAAAGAAGGTAAACCGTAAGGAATGTGGTTGATTATTAGGTAGGAAGGTAGAAGAAGCTCGTTGATGATCCAACTGAAAACGAGTATGGAAACAAGGTGGGCGGCCAATGGACCTTATACAAGCAGCTGCAACTCCTGGGCACCATCTGAGACGCCATCTTAAAATTCGGAGTACGGATGTTGACCATGTGGCGGACGACTGCCTCCCGCTGGCGCACTGGCCTCCATACTGGATCCGTGACCCTACAAGCTTCAAAGCTTGGCAAATCGACCCATTGATCGTCCAGGAACTGCTCGCTAGCAGTGTAGCAACCGCTGAGGAAGCCCGGCTTGTAGCGATGGGGCTCGTGGTGCCGGCATGTGATGTAGCAGGTCCGGGGCCCTGCGACGCGAAACGGCTATCATGAAACCCTACAAGTGCCAACGCCTGCGCGGAGGCAGTAGAGCCGCCCTCGAGAAAACCTGGGTACCGTAATAGTGCATGGCGATTAATGGCGGTATTCTGACTTTCCGACCGGATCCGTGAGGTGGCTCACCATCTGAGGCTTGAAGCAGTCGGGCTCCTCATCTGTCATGACGCTGGTGGGGGGTGTTTCCAGCAGCAAAGAGCTAGCGAAACGTTTCAACATCAAGCTACTGATCGTATTCCATAGCGCAGTCATGATTGTAAATACTTCTATAAGGGTATCGTGGTGTCGTGAGCGTTTGCGTGTTGCGCCGAGAGAACTATAGATGGGTCGAGAGGTTAAGAGCGATGGATTAACGGGTGGCTGAGGCACCCAAAACGTCTTCACGTTGCCAAGCCTCATGGAGAACCACTGCTATTTCGGCTGCGGTTCAGGCCGTCAGGCTTTCGTTCGCTACAGCAAACACATGCAGGTACACAGACCGCCTCCGACAGGGGATGGGAAGTCGCAGATCCGCTGGTCAAGATTCGGATTTCACGGCATCGACCTGATGCCGTATAGCGCGGCTTGTCACATTCGATCATGCCGAGGAGAGGTCACGATTCGATATGTTTCCACCTCAAACAACCAATCTTTGTCTGAGGCCGCGTTTCCAATGTAGTAATCAGGATGTCAGTGAGGGGCACACTGTTGCTCACTTCTTTGCCTTGTCGCCTTGTACGGCTCTTGAGCAGCCTTATCCAGGCCTGAACGAGATGTGGGGAGTGGGTGTCAATGCAGACGGGTACCAAAAGCAACCAAAGTGAACTACGCATGGCCAGAGGCGCTCTCGCAGGGATAAACACATTACTGTACTACGGAAAATTACTGTGTATAAGAGCTGCAACGATGTATCGCGACTGCCGATATCATCGTCGCATACAGATAAACAACACACAGATCGCCGTTCGTCTCTTCCTGCACAACCTAGTATGTATCCTCCATTCAATTTTTTATACCAAGTCGACATAAGCTACCGAAAAGGCCGGATACCTGGTTGGACTGAGCGAGACATCTCGTCTACAAAGCGTAGGGGTTGAGAGATCGGATGGTCAAGCAACTGAAAGATAGGTTAGTGACGTTCAGAACGTAGTGATGGGCATTACTTACGGAGGGCTCTTCGTCAGATCCGTCTTAAGGATGACTGGGACGCGTGTCATCTCCCGCACATCCTGGATGTAGTCGCCGTTCTGCTCGCGCAGAGTGAACCAGCTGAGGTACTTCTCCTTGTTGGTCAACTTGGACTCTGCAGCATCACCAGCGCTCTGGGCGATCTTCGAGTCGGAGTTAACACGGTGAGGAGCACCAGCAAGATCGCGGCGGGTAGGCGATGGAGGCATGCTCTGAGTTGGGCGGTCAGGGTTGAGAGAAACGCCGGCCATGTTCGAGTTGAGGTCGTTGGAGTCGTCGTCATCGTCGTCATCATCAAACAACGCAGCCTCCTCGTTGGTCGACATGGTTCCAGTGTCCATCTGCCTGCGCTGGGCCTCTTCCTGCTCCCTCGCACGTTGCTTAGCAGCCTCGGCATCACGCGCCGCAGCCGCAGCATTGGCGGACCTGAGTGAGCCATGCTTCGGCCTCTCGTCCTCGGGAATGTAGTTGGACGATGGTACGCCCTTCTCCCAGTAGAGCTCAAGGAGACGCTTGTTCTTGTCGAACTCGGCCTTCTTGAGAGGAAGCTGGTCACAGTGGACGCGCTTCTCAAAGCCCCACTCGGGAATAAGGACATCGAAAGCGGACTCGTACACGCAAAGGACGATACCTTCGGCGATGAGATCACCCCCCCTCTCCTGCCTGACCTTGTCCATCTTGCGGCAAGCCTCGATGTGAACGCTCTGCTCCTGGGCAGCATGGGCGGAGTCCTTCTTGGTGTTGCACATCTCGGCGGTCTTGGCCAAAGCCTCGATGTCTTCAGTGAACTCAATGGCACCGTTGGAGAGGACAGCCTCCAGCTGGCGGTGGACAATGATGTCGGCGTAGCGGCGGGATGGGTTGGTGAAGTGAGTGTAGAGGGGAAGGTTCAAGGCGTAGTGAGGGTACTGATCCTGAGGCAGCCTGCCAGCAACAAAGTACTTGGCACGAGGCATCGACTTGATGACGAGGGTCTCCATACCCTTCCTGATGTCATCGTCTTCAACCTCGAACAAGCTGTTCTGGAGAGTGCCACTGCTCTCGGTGTTGATGTCGTAGCCAATGGCACCCATACGCTCCGCGATGGTCGTCAAGCGGCGGGGGTTAGGCGGAGGTTGACGGCGCAGGAGAGCCTTCTCCGGCAAGCCAGTGGCGAGCTTCTTCGCAACAAAGGTGTTGGCGAGGTGGCTGAGCTCCTCAATGCACTCGTGGGCAGGGGAAGAATCGAAGATGTTCTGTTCGACGGGAACATTCTCGTCGTCCAGCTGGTACATGAGGCGCAGAGCCTTGACATCGCTGGAGCGGTCGCCGAAGCGAGCCTGGCGGAACTTCTGGGAGATGTGATGCAGCATCTTGATGTCCTTAGCACGGGCTGCCGAGACTGGACCGTCGTTACCGTTGATAACGGTGTCGACCTCGTCGTAGGACAGCTTTCCAGAGCTCTTGATCACAGCCTTGCCGACCCAGGTCTCATCATCTGAGATTTTACCAGAGGTAGGATCGACCTTGAAGACGACACTGACTGTGTAGCGCTCTTCGCCAGGGTTGAGGCAGCAGATGTCGTTCGACAGACGCGGCGGAAGCATGTTCACTGTGCGGTTCATAAGGTAGACCGCAGTTCCACGCTTCTTGGCTTCACGGTCAACAAGCGAGTTGGCCTTGATGAAGTGGGCAACATCAGCAACGTGGATACCAATCTCGACACGGCCGTCATCAAGGTATTTGAAGTGAATGGCATCATCAAGCTCCTTGCTGCCGTTGGGGTCGATGGTGAAGGTCTCCTCGCTGCGGAAGTCGCGGCGACTCTCGAGCGCCTCCTCGCCGTCGTTGGCGACGGACCAGTCTTCGAAGCCGACGTTCTTGATGACAGCGTCGGAGAAGTCATCGGGACCAAAGTTGTTGTCGCGCAAAAGTGCGTCGGTTTCCACCTTAAGGTCACCCATGACACCGAGCTGCTCGACAAGAGTACCGAAAGGATGCAGAGAGGTGATGGGCCATCGCTTAATGCATGCGACAAAGATGCGGTCGGCGTAGTCTTGGTGCTTCTCGACGAAGTCACGTGGGGCTTGCTCGGTGGGAATGGCGATCAAAGGCACACGCTTGTCTGTTGGCTTGAACCAGACAATCTTAGGCTTGTTCTGGGTCTCTGGCTGGGAGCGACCGGAGTTGCCCTCGCGAGCCTGTCGCTCAGCTTCCTGCTTCTCCTTGGTGGCTTGGCTGCTGGGGCGCAGGAGTCCAAGGGATCTGTAACGGTGATTAGTGATGTACTTGAATGAAGATAATGTGTTTGCTTACCCTGAGAACATCTGTCCAGCAACACGCTCGATAACAGCAACAATGTGACCTGCGTACAAAGGCTTGAGCTCATCGTTGATCTCCTCCTCCTCCATGAGGAGCAAGCTCTGGCCTTCGACTTCAACATCGTCGTTCTTCTTCTGTGTGGGTCGCTGGCGGAGACTGCCACGTCGGCGGATGCCACCCTCAGAGCCAGTCTCAGGTTGGGTAGTGGCATCGTTGACGGCGATACTACCGCCGCGAGGGTCTGCGTTGTCCTTGCGCTTCTTCTTCTCTTCCTTTTCGCGCTTCTGACCCCAGACCTCGTCGACGTCAAGAAGTTCGACAGCGACCAGATCTCCTTCGAGAGCTCGGTTCCTGTCTTTGCTACCGCAGATGAAGATGTCAGCATCCAGATCAGTAGTTGTGACATAAGCATCGCTGCGGTTCTTCTTGTTGACGCGGAGGATTCCGGCAACGAGTTGGCCGTCGCCGAGGAGAGCGGGCAAGGTGGCCTGCGGGAGGTAAGGAGTGAATAGCGTCTTGCGCTGCTGCTGCTGGTTTTGCTGCATGCCCATCTGCGGTGCATGCTGGCTGCCTCCGAGACCGCCGCCCTGCATCTGGGCGGCCTGGAGAGCCTGTAAATGAGCGATCTGCATGGGGTTTAGCGGCTGGCCGAACATCTGCTGTTGCAGGAGAAGCTGGGCCTGGTTGCCCATTTGCATCTGAGGCTGGCCGCCGTACTGGAAGTTGCCAAGAGAACCAACGGACTGGTTGACCGATCCACGAGTGCGGTGGCCAGGCTGGAAAGGAGCGGCATTGGCGGTCTGGTTCATGTTGAAGTTGCCCATGTTTTGGGACTGGTTGTCTTGCGTAGGCTGTTGCTGGGTGTTGTTCTGGGGCTGCCTCCAGTTGCCCTCGAAGTTGCGAGACTGGCTCCTGCCATGGCCTTGGCTGCCACGGCGCTGGAAGTCAGACTGCTGTCCGTTGTTCTGGTTGGTAGGGTTCTCGCTGGTAGCTGGGAAGGAGAAGGAAGGACCACCACGACCAGCACTTCCCCCACCGCGTCCGACAGCCATGCTCTGGCTGCGGCCGTGGGCACCTCGTCCACCACGGGCGGAAGAAGTGTCGTTGGAAGCGCTGTTTCCACTGGGGCTGGCATCACGGTTGGAGCTGCCCTCGGTCGAGCCGGGGATGGGGAACTGGAAGCCCGAAGTCTTTCTCTTCGATTCGGCCTGTTCGGCAGCCTTCTTCGCGTCGGCGAGAGCTAGCGAGTGACGGCGGGTGTGTCCGGAGCCGCCAGCACTGCCACCGCCTCGGCCACGAGGGTTGACGTTTTCCCTACCCTGGCCACCCTGTTGTGCACCGAACTCGCCGAAGCCAGACGAACCGGAGGAAGGAGCGGGGGGTGGGCCGCCCATGCCGACTTGGGGCAGGGCGGACTGGTTGCGGCGGTGGGCGCCAGGCTGGGCTGGTGCGCCCATGGGGACAGCGAGGTGTTGCTGCTGCTGCATTTGCTGCATCTGCTGGGGGAACTGGTAGTTGTTGACTTGGGGCGAGACATTGGGCATCTGGCCCTGCATCTGGAAGTTGCCGAGCTGCTGCTGCGGCTGGATCATACCCATGTTAACATATTGCTGGTGCGTGGCGGCAATCTGCTGCTGCTGTTGCTGGAGGACCTCGATCTGCTGTGCGATGGCGAGCTGTTCCACTGAGCAGCTGTCAGCAATGGCCCAAAGTGGCTATCGGATAGCTCCACGTACTCATCAGCGGTGTCAGCTCTGACGGACTGCGGCGATGCGCAATGTGCAGACGACGACCGGCGGGACCCATGGGACCCTGCTGGCCTTGTTGCTGATCCATAGTGGATAATGTAGTGTGGATGATTCAATGCCCGCTTGCAGTGTATGCTGTTGGAGAAGAGACGGTCGGACACGAATTGGTCAAAAGTGTGATGGATTTATCTGCGGGCAATCAGCATGGCGGGTTGGATGAGGTCTGCAGCGAGCGAGCGAGCGAAGGGATGCAGGTGGTGAGAGTGCAAGGAGGCAGATGGGGGACAGATGCAGGGTCGGCAGCGGCATGCTTCAGCGAGCGAGCTAGCGGGGGACAACTCACGTTGGGGTAAGCGTGCTGGTTGGGCGGTGCTCGGGGCGAAGAGGATACTCTCGTAGACGATGATTACTCGGGGTGGTGCTCTGCAAGTCAGAAGCGGGTGGTGTCGTGTTCAGACAGATGTGTCGTTGGTCTAGGAGGGTTGATAAGGAGGGTCGACCAGATCAAAGAGCGCGGTTTCCCTAGGACGGGCTGTTGGTGGCAGTACAACCAAAATGCGGGCGGAGAGAGTGCTTCGAAGGAGGGAGCGATCGGGGCGGGCGGGCAGGAGGGATGCAGGAAGAGAGGGCAGAGGGCAGGCAAGAGGGCCGTCAGCGTGCTCGAGGTGGTGATGGCTATGGCGGGACTTGGCCAGCAGCACGGTTTGGGCAAAGATCGCCTGTTCTTCCGCAAACGAGCGAGCCTGGGAGAGGTCTAAGCGGCGTACGTCACTTGCGAAGCCAGATATGCAGCTTCCCGCGCCGAACTGAAGGAGTGCGAAATTAACGTAGATACAAGCAAGCGCCGGGCCGTGGGGGCTGAGGCGCTGCCGGCCGCGAGCTGGTATATATACCGCCAGCAGCAGTCGGCATGCGTCTCAGCGCGCCCCAGGTGAAGCATCACGTTTGGGTCTGTACGTTTCAAGGCAGGCTTAGCCGGCGCGCGTTTCTAGACACGAACAACAGTCCGCTGCAGCGTCGCGGGAGGGCGGCGCAAGGGTCGAGGTTATATTGATGGATCCACTGCGCTGGGGTTGCGAGCTTGTCATGTCCGGCATTCGATAGTCCAACAATCTGACAGATATGCTGGCTTCGCGCGCCATGCCTCGCTGAAACTCGAGGACAGGAGTCACATCTTTCCCCAGCTTGTCACATTCTGTCAGTGAAACGGCCCTCTCCAGGGCCTGCGCGTGCCCTCACAGCGTCGCAGCTTGGCGGGTGCAGTCCCACCAGCTTGGGCACAGACGCCTCTTGTGAACTTTATGAAGGCGCAACATGGCGTGTTTGCCCACGTCGCGACTCAGCGTCCTTGACTCCATCTCATCTTAATCAATCGACGGCCCAGGTGGAGCTGCGAATGAAGCTACGTCAGACATCGAGCGAGTGCTTCGACTTGGGAAGAGCGCGACCCGTTGATGTTCCAGGTACGCTAGCCAGCACTACAATGGAGCTGCGTAGCGCGGTGAAAGCTGCTGCAGGGATGAGCGATGTCACGTGAGTCGGAGCTGGTCGCTGCTAGCTTCCGACTAGACTTCTTTGACCGTCGCGCTCTCACCAACCACCTTTTCAACAACTGCACCCTGACCCCAACTAACAGCACGGCGCCAGAATGCCCGCCAGATCGGGCACCTCGTCGTCGAGCATGCATACCGCCACCTCCTTCAGCTCCAGCTTCATGGACGCCTCGCCCACACGCCAATCGCCAAATCGACGCAGCAGTCACCGCCAAAAGCGCGAATCCCTCATCCGCGACCCCTATGAGAGCCCGGCCAAGCAATTAGCCCTCGAGTTCAATCTCCGCCTCAGCATATCCGACCGGGAGTTCAACGAGAAGCTAGACCAGGCTGCGAACGAGCGCGCGAAACAACATGCCCAACAACTCGCCTACGCTGCCGAGGAACACGAGCGCGTCTTCAGGAGCGCGAAGCTTGAGATCGAACGCATTGCCCTGGAAGAAGAGCAGGCGCGCCTCCGCCATGAAGAGGCTCAACGGCAGGAGATTGAGCGCCTGAAGCAGGAGAAGGCCCGCGAGCAAGCCGAGGCTCAGCGAAGGGCTCTGGAAGCAAGACAGCGCGAGGAGGAAGCCGCCCGTCAAGCCGCAGAACACAAGCTCAAACTGCAACAGGCCGATGCCCGCATCAAAGCCCAGCAAGAGCAGCAGGCGGCCGCTGAGAAGCAGAAGAGGGAAAAGGACGAAGCTGATCGGAAGGCTGCCGAGGCTGCGGCCGCTGCAGAGAAGGCTCGACAGCAAGCACCACCACAGCAGCCAACCGCCCAGCCCACCCCCGCGCCAGCTCCCACACAAGCAGCTGCACCACCAAAGCCATCCACCGCCGCACCGGCAACTAGCACCAGCGCCGATCAGATTCACGCCAAATACCTTGAACTCCACCAGCGCATGAAGGCCTTCCGCAAAGCTTTTTGGGAGGAACATAAGAAGCCAACCTCCCCACTCAAGGGTCCCGTTGGTGATGCCCGACGCGCCATCCGCACTCGACTTGGCCAGATCACAGTGGAGCGCAAGGACAGTGTCGCCGCCATCAAGCGCCTCCGAACCGAATGCTTCGACATCGCCCTCACAACACCCGGACCCATGGTCGACATCCGACAATACATTGTCTCCCACCAAATTCCCCAGCTGGCCAACGAGAACGAAGCCGCATACCCGGCGTTCCTGCTCTACGTCTGGATCTGCTTCGAGAAGTTCCTTGTAAAGCAGTTCGAAAAGGAGGCCGCCAACACCGACGGACGCATCATCCAGGAGATCGGTTTGATAGCAGCCAGCTTATTCGGCGACCAGAAGTACATGTGGAACGGCCTTCCTCTCATCGACATTGCGCTGGCCAAGCTACACAAGGCCTGCCCCCCTCTGTTTGGCATCCGCGGTACTATGAACACCAAGGAAGGTCGGTTGCGCCTAGGCTGGCAAGAGGACTCAACCCCGGAGACATATTCGCAGCGCATGCGCGGTATCGGAGCTGGCTACGCCTCCATGTCCCTCCGCTCATTCGCCGCCAAGGCGCCTGCCATCGCCATGTCAGAGTACTGGCGTGCCATCTCTTCGATATGCAACACACCCTCCGAGCAACTCTGGCCTGGACACTTCGCCGTTCTCAGCGGCCTGATCCGCGACTACCACAAGAAGTTCATCCAATTCTACGGCGTACCTGCGCGTGGCGTCCTGCGTCGCGCTGTCGTCGACCTACCCGTCCGTGCACCAGAGCGCTGCAAAGACGCCGCGAGTACCATTGCCGTGTACCGCGAGACTTGGAAGAGGGAGAAGTTTTCGTTGGATTAGAAGAGGAATAAAGGCGTGTTGACGCAGACGGAATAGCATTGGGGGCTCTCTCTCGGAAATCGGCAATTTTTTTCATTGTCAACGATCTTTTGTCAATCTTGCATGGGACGGCGCATATCATCAGCAGTATGACCTATGGTCGTGGGTTGCATCTTTTCCTTTTCTGGTAGTTTCTCTTTGTCTCAATGGATAAGGAAGTCCACAAAATACATGCGTAGAACAACGTCCTTCGCGACAACGAAATAGTCTCGCTCATTGTCTTACCTACAGCGAGCATGAAATGATCAATATCGCCCTGTCCGCCGCCCCTAACCTTCGTGATACTACACAGCTGAGCCTTCACATTGCAAGACTCGAGCTGTAAAAGCCATAGTTGTGAAAGGTGACAAGACTTCTGAGTAAGCAGTGTTTTAGTTCGCACATTCCATCTCCCCTCCCCTACAAGAAGGACAAAACCATCACTTCGCCATTCCAGTCAAAAACATTCCAACACCACTACTGTCATCAAAATGGGTACTCTTGTTGGCATGCCCGTAACTATCCAAAAAGGACTTCGCTGGAAGAAGGACCGGTCTTCAGGAGTGATGCCCGAGTGGACAACCGACCCCAGCATTGAGGACATCACAACCCTCGTGCGACGAGAGCTGAAGATCCCGACTCCAGACCCATGCGTAGTTCAATTTTCCTAACCCAGAACAACTTCGACAAGGATTACACCGTCACATGTGGCCGCGGCCAAGAATACATCCTGCGTCTAACTGTCCCTGTCGACGCACGATCAAAGACTATGAGCGAGGTGGCTACTATCGAGTACATCCGTCATCACACTGAGGTTCCAGTACCACAGGTCTTCTGCTACCAGGCTAATACCGACAACGAACTTGGACTTGAGTGGATACTCAGGGCGCGTATGCCCGGCCGCAAACTGGGTGATGAATGGGAGGGCATGGACTATCTCAAGAAAGAGCAACTGGTGCGTAAAATGGTCTCTGTTCACGCGCAGCTCTTCCAACAGCGGTTCGATCAACTGGGCAACTTGTACCCTGCGAATGAACTTCCTCATTTAACCACGCCAGGCCTGGATGATATCGCTTTGCTTACACTGGAGGTCTCAATCCTCTCCACGAAAGTCGGCCTAGGCAAGATCGTCTCCGCGCCCTTCTTCTGGGGCGCACACATCGACCACAACGTCCCGCGCGGCCCTTACAAGCGGAGTCAAGACTGGCTTACCGCACAACTGCAGCTCAGCCTCTTTGATCTTGACGACGAGTCCAAGCTTGAAACGTCGGACGAAATCAAGCGCTCGATATACCAAAATATCATCGATTCTTATCCCGGCGAGCCTGACGAAGCGGCTACCGCCATATGGAAGAAACAAATCGATAGGATAAATACAGATCCGCACCTTAAGTATGCCCGTGGAAAGGTCGAAGAAGCTAAACAGCGAGCCCAACGCCTGCTTAAACTTATGCCAAAGATTTTCCCCGAGGAGAAAGATGAAGAGGTATTCGTGCTTCACCACCAAGACCTCCACGCAGCCGACATCCTCGTCGACTCCAACGGCGCCTTAACCGGTATCTTCGACTAGAAATGCGCGCACACCGCCCCCCTATGGCTCGCATGCCAATTACCTGCATTCCTAGACTTGACCGACTCTACCGCAGCATTGTTCGCCTATCTCAACATCGAATATGTTAATGAGGAGTACAAAACGCAAGTAAAGCTTCAACAGTTTTTCCTGGAAGAGATGCAACGGATCTGTCCGGAATGGGTCGATGTACATGAGGCTAGTCAACTGAAAGTGGGGTTTGAACAGTGTGTGCAGCATTTTGGTAAGGCGGGTGATGGGAAGTATATTGAGAGGTGGATTGATGGGGTGGAGAAGGAGGGGAGTGCGCCGATGTTGAAGGAGATTGTGAGGGCTGAGTGGGTTAGGGATTATGTTCATGGTGGGTATCCTTTTGCGTCCCGGCTTTTCTGGTATCGGGTTATGGGATGGGAATGTATCTGATGGTCGAAACACGTTAAACTACCTAGGTAGGGAAAGCCAGAGTACCCTGGAGCCTACAACGACGGAGAAATAGAGAATGTAAAGTTTTGAGGAGATCGGTGAAGTCCATGCGTCTCAGGACGTCCCCATTTCCATCATCAGTGTGAACTTAAGGATACAAGCTCTCGGTCCCCCTCTGATACTTCCTCAAGATGTCTATCCATGGACTGCCTGGGAAAATATTTCTATCAAACGGCTTCAACCCCATCTTCTCTTCCAAGTATCTGGGCCAGTGCATAGCATATTGCCCACTAACCTCCAACGATCTCTCCACCTTGAGTTGTGCCAGCCCGCGTACAAAAACGACGCTTTTACCTAGCCCAACACGCGAACCCTCCGCGTCCAAGTAGACACTCAGATCCTGAATTTTGGTTGCTTCTCGTTGAAGTTTGTCGAAAAGTAAGCACCATCGCTGAGGACTAGGTGCGTGGTCGGTCGCGTCGACAAAGACGGTAAGGTCAGAGATGACAGCAGCGTCGTTTGTCTCGAGCCAGGTCATGAGGGCGTCAGGTTGCGATACGTTGATAGCGACAGATTGGAGAAGATCATCAGGTGTAGGTTCAGTCCCCTTTTGCCAGGAGTAGCCTTCCTTGCGATGGAAAAACATGCATGGGAGGGGGTCCATCATGAATATCGATGATGCAACTTTTTTTTTTGAGATAGAAAGAGACGGAGAGATGTTAGGTGTGGGTTGACGTAGAAAGAGGGGAAGTAAAGATCAACATGACTTCATCAACTCTTGCACCTCGAGAATGCCATGCGGCAAACCCTAATTGGTTGTGTGAGGTCTCACAACCATAGACGGCTGCTAAGTGAATCCCTACGAACAGCGAATATTGCCTTGAACTCTTGCCCGCAGCTGTACAGTAAGCACCAAAAGAAAACATTGATACCAGACTGTATCTACGCTTTCACAGTTATCGGTGTAGAGCGAGAAAGCTAGCGAGATTTGACCGCAAAGGCGTGACATGATCCAGGAATAGCACCGCATTTTAGCGAGAACGCTAGTTGGGTCAGCCAACATCGCCCATCGTCCCGCTGTTGTTAGGCCAGCCGTCGTCAACACCACACCCGTTGGCCAGCAAGCTCCCACTCACCAGCCAGCGCACGCATGAGATGAGGGTCTGACACCACCACGCCGCATAGTCGCCGCAGACGCGCCGCAAATACTCTGCTTGTGGCGTCCAGTAACCACCAACTCCCATCCCACGATCTCTACAATGACGCGCCGTAGCGGGAGCTTGACAACTCGCATCATGGCTTTCCTTTACCGTAACAAGTTCGCCTATTCTCACCCCACAATTTGCCCACGTCGCCGTCCAATCCTCCTTGGGCTTGGCTCAGGCAGACACGCAGAGGAAGTGTAAGGCGCTCAGCCTTGTGTCGATTCATGATTGTTGCTGCTCATTTCTTTTAGCGCAGGTGGCTGTGCTTGCCTAAATTTCGAAACGTTGATCCTACAGCACAACCCTTTGGCACATCACTGTCTTTGTAGAGGCCCTCGTATTGGGCCGCCGAATCTGTGTTGATGTTGTGTGGCAGGAAGCTGGAATGGGGAGTTGTTCAAAAGAGCAGCCACTCAATTTGTATGGTTCCACGAGCTGAAGTGATAGCTTCAGCTGCGTAGACAGAACGAGCGAAACCGCTCGGACGTGGCTCGCACGCGGTAGAGAACCATCCCCAAGTGGACTGACAGTAGATGGGGCCCCGACATGCACGCCCGTCACCGCCGTCTACGAACCCGTGCCACCACCAAACTGCCACACAGCTCCTTCTGATTCCTCGATTAGACGCGGTAGTCCAAGCTTCGACGGCCGTTCTCGACGCCCATCATTCGTTAGGCCTCTTGTTTTGCGCCAAGCTGCTCATCATACCACAGGGGCGCAGTGACTTTTCTCCGAATTCATGGGCCTACTTTCCCCACAACGTGCTGAGGCTGAGCATATCTTTCCCACTTTCGAGCCGCATACTGGACGCCTTCTCACGGATCCAGCGCCATGGGCGCAGGATCTAAGGCCGGTGCGTGAAAGGTTTCATTTTACGGAGAGACTTATGTCTGCCTGGTGCCCGGTACCAGTTCATAGCAATAGCACATAAGGGATTACTCGAGCGAGTTCGTCTCAACAGTCTCATAGCTATATATCATCATATTTTCGAGGCGTAGTAGTTGTTATTTCTTCATCGCACCGCCACATCGCCTCCTATCTAGCACTACATATAAGCAAAGAGCTTCACCATCCATCTGAAGCATCACCGACCGATTCGCGTCAAAGATCCATCGCCTACACGAACATACATCACCATGTCTCCTATACCAGTAGACAACAACCTCGTCGCAGACGAAGACCTAGCTTCAGTACCCTACTCAGGATACTGGACAAAAGCCAACATCGCCCTCACCGTCGTCTTCGGCCTCATCTTCCTCGCCATAATCCTCGCCTGCCTAATCTTCTATCTCCACCGCCGAAGCGAAAAGAAGAAGCTCGACAACCGCAAATCAGACACAGCCGGCCTCCTCGCCAACGAAGACAAGACCAGCATGTTCAGCCGCGTCCGCGCAAGCAGCGTCACATTATACGTCGACTCGGAAGCGGACGCGCGCAACAAGAGATCGAGTACGGATACCATGCATCTCGTCCCACTACAGGTCACGCCGAGTGAAGAGACTAGTGATCCCATCGCCGATAACACGGAGAGCGCTGGTACGGGTGTTAGTGCGATGAGTCGCCAGAGCAACGGTACGCTTAGTACTATGGTGCTCAGTCCCATATCGCCGAGTGGTGACGAGGGTGACATGAGTTTACGGCCGGCACCGACGGGGCGCGCACGCAGTACGAGTACAGCTAGTCAACGGGCACGGTATTACGAGTCGACGCCTATGATTGCGATGCCACAGATTCCGAAGATCATTCATACGACGTCAGAGTAGAGAAGGGGTAGGGGCATACATGTAGACCTTTAGGGTAAAGGGTCAAGGGGAGGTTTACGAGTTGAAGGTTTAAATGTCTTACTTTCTCATTCTGTTGTTTCGCGATTCCGCGGTCTTTTCTGCACAAGCATTATTATATACCCTGTCTACGCTCCTGCACTTGTCATAACACGCAGTCGAGTATTATCTAGACACTTCTATCTCATCTCTTATGAAAGCAAAAAGTTGAATAATCTATTTTGATCTTATGCCAGGCCGTTAACTAACAGTTGACTTCATCACTATATTACGTCTAGCATATACTACTATGTATACTCGCCCCCAAATTCTTCTTCCCGGTTGCCTGGTCGTTGTTGTATGTGTTGGCATCTCGGCTCACTCGGAGTGAGCACTAACGACGCGCATCGATCCCCAGCCCCGGTAAAAGCTCTGGTCTAGGACGAGACATGTAAGCTTCAAATGACATCATACTCGATGCTGAATTCACCCCAGAGCTATTTGACTCTATGAGCAGAAAAGCTCCTACATGCTTATCAGGGCACAAAGCCGAGAATGCGTTCTGTGCCGGTCACCTCAAACCAGCCAGTTGAGAGTCGTTAATCTCGCAACAAAGGACTTCGCCTTACAGTCAATGTCATAGATATCATACCCGAAGTACATCCCAAAGAGCAGCACGTCCGATCACGTCTGGACAAACACCCTCTACATCACTGACGCATATCCAAAAGCCATCTCCAAGGCGATCTCGGCATCACCGATCAACAGCCCAAACACAGACCCACGGCACAGTTCAATAAGCGGCGAAGTTCACACAGGGGATCGCTGTGCCACAAAGACCTCTTGCATGGCCCGACTGTGCCGTACGCGTTACCGCACCCTTGGGTCGAGCCAAGAGAATGTGCCACAGGGGATATGTTAGCCTTGATAACAATGAACGGAAAAAAGGGGATACGCAGCCACACATGATATCACCGTGGCGGTGAAGTAGGAAGCTGAAATATGTGCACACAGTAATGAGTCAACGTGAAGCTTTCTCGATATACATGCTAAACCAACGCTCTACACGCTGCCCCATCCGTAGACCTATCGCTAACAATGCAACACAAAACAATGACTAAACCGCTCAAAACATACCAATACAAATACCCGCATCCATATCGCGACCGCACGAAGCGAGTCTATACAGAATGTGAGCCCCGGGACCGGCTCCCCGAACTCCCATCGCTCTTAACCCATCATCAGCCGTTGAACAGTTGCGACAAGCGAAGACCTACTTCTTCGCAGCATTAACAACCTCTTCACTCAACTCCCACTCCGGGTCCCAATGCACATACTGCGTCATAGCCACAGCGAGTAGCCACTCCGTCTTGACAATGCGCGGAATCATGTTTTCACGCTTAGCCAACTCGCGGAATTTAGTCCAGTTGGTAAACTCCTTCTTGTCGGCGTCGGAGATGAGGTACAACACGTCTCCTTCGTCTTCAACCTGGTTCTGACTGACCTCCTTGTCAGCGAGGTCGAGTTTACGTTTTGACGCGGAGAAGACGGTTGTCGGCCTGCCCTTCCAGAGCACACATTTTCCGCCGTTGACTTCGACAATGTCTTTGTAGGTTTCGAAGCCGCCGCCGACTTTCTCTGTGCAGAATACTGTCCAGCCTTTGAGGAGGCGCTGCTTGTTCTGCTTGGCGCGCGAGAGGGCTTCGGAGAGCCGGAAGTTGTTGGCCTCTTCGAAGTCTCTAGCTTGGAGGAGGTGCTTTTCTGCCGGGGGGAGCTTGTTGTTCTTCAGCGCGAAGTCGAGGTAGCTGGTTGATACGAGGGTGGGGGCGCAGGCTAGGGCTGCGATGAACTTCTTCGTTCGGACGGGTTGCGGGGCGCAGACTAGGTCTACCTTCTTGAAGTCGTCGGTGATGAAGAGGCCAAGCTCTCGAAGGCGCGCTTTGTCTTTTGATTCCTTCTCGGGGTTGTTGGCCCATCGCTCGTCTTTTGAGATCAGCATGCGGAACTTGATGGGCGCGAGCTTCTCCTTTTTTGCTCGCTTGTTCTTTGCTGGGATCTCTGTGGCTTCATCTTCTGTCTCGTCGTCATCGTCGACTTCATCGATGGAGCGTTTGCTTGAGACTGATTCACGGCCGCCCTTTGCTTGCTTCGTTCCCTCGTCGATCTCATCTTCTGCCCGTCGTCGTCCACCGTGAATGACACCACCCTTGCGCTTCATCTCCTTCTCGAACTGTGCAATATCTGGCGCGGCGTCGTGCATTTTTGCCAATGCGCGGTCTTTGGCTCCCCGACTGCCAGGCGTCTGGTTCTCTTTGCCATCGGTACGCCGAGGTGGCAGCGGTGTTTGTGCATTGCCTCCGGATTTCGCCCGCTTAGGCTTCTCAGCAGGCGGACTGCGAGGTGCTGGAGGTTCACTTTGTCGCGGTGGTACGCTCGATGCTGGCACGTCATTGGTCTGCGGTGCTGCTTTGACGGCTTTTGTGGGTTTGACTTGCTTTGAGAAGAAGATCTTCTCAGTAGCCTCGCGATCGATTTCTGTCTGACCCAACACCTCTCCAAGGTTGGTCCGGGCTGGGAAGAATGTGTAACGGCCCTCAGTCAGCGGCATTTCCCTGCACTTGGCGTAGCTGTCTTCCAGCCACAGATGATTGACAATGTTCACGCCCCACTCCGCCGCAGCCTCGCACTTCTCGCTGTTCTTGTGCGCAGCAATAAGATGTGTGTTGTCCTGCTTGAAAGTCTTTGTGAACTCCGCACCCGTAGCCTTGATCAAGTTTTCCAGGTATATGCGGGCCTCGCCAGTGTAACTGGATATGCTAACTTTGTACTTGTTGAACCCCGGAATGCCTTCCCGTGGCCGCGGATAGTGCATCATCCGCTGCATGGGATTTGTCCAGATACCGTGTGTGATGAGGTAGTACAACCAGCCCAGGTTTCCGACGTCTTTTCGCGCTTGCGACGCCTTGACATAGTCTGGGCCTTCTCGGTAGTTGCAAACATACATGTCTGCATCATCGATTTTTGAGGTTACACTGCCGCCTCCAGCCTTGATCATGCCCGTTATGATATTCCTGAGCTTGGTGCTGATGTTCAGATCTTCACCAAGCTTGACACGCTTTCCGTCGAAGGCCTTGATCGCGCGGGGTGCCTCGAGGTGAGGCGGAGGCGGTACGGGATCGTTTTGAGGGTCTGGGGTGGCTGCGTCTCGAATGTGCTGGCTCACGCGTGTAGGAGGAATGGCGCCTGGTTTCATGTCGGCGAGGATCTCGGGATCGGGAAGTGTATACGGTCGCTCTGATATTCTACGGCCAACTTTGAGGCAGTCATCGAACCTGTGTGGTGTTAGATCAGTTCAACGACCATGCCCTCAACTCAAACCTACCAATGGGGCAACACAATTGACAACTGCAGTCGTTTACTAATAGCGAGCTGACACCGTGGTTCGCTCACATCCAGTGCAATGAGATGTGTCACGAATTTCGAGAGGCTCGGTGCGAATTGCCCGCCCAATGCCAGTACGCCACCCTCGATCGCTTCCTTGTCTCCGCTCGGTATGTCCCCACAGCATATGACTACTTCGCTCATGAAGAGTGCAGGATCGGGGCTGTATGTTCGCGGGTTCTTGGCCTTGTTGGACTGGAGCGACGCGTCTATCCATGTTGGCTTGACCACATGTAACATGAGATCGAGGGCGCGGTAGTAGTCGGGGAAGTCGGCCGTCTCCGAGACAATGTAGCTGATTTCCTCCAGGTTGTCTATGCGGCCTTTGGTTACATTGAAGGGTACGATTGTTCCGCGAGCGCCTGTGATAGCATCTTCGATCTATGCCGTCGGTTAGCAATACTTCTAAATTGATTAGACGCGTCGCATACCTGGCGCATTCGCTCTTCTGAGAGGCCGTTGGGGTATATCGTGAAATTGAGCTCCTCGAACAGACCCTGCGAGCCCTCCAGCATGGTGGTGTCTTCCATGGCTGCGACTTAGGGTGTTGTGTTGTATGTGTGGACTGTGGGTCGCTGTCGATGTTGGATTCGAAGGCGCGATGCGACACGGCTACACGCGAACTTTGGAGGCACGAACGCGTCAAGGCCCACGTGACGCCCCACCAAAACACTTCGACGCTGGATCCGTCATGACGGCGGAGTCCTGTCCAGACTAGTGTCTTTTTGCAGTCCGAAAGAAGCGCGCGTTTGCGCAATGTCCATTCGGAATGATCCTCAAGCGCGAGTATCTCTTTGGCACTTCTATGTGGAGGTTCTGTGGGGAGAACAGAAGCCGTGATGGACCTCGGCATTCCCCAGATTGCGCCGGCTGCTAATCACGACACCTAGAAGCATAGGCGCCTTTCTGTGATCTAAGCGTATCATTCCGTTCTACCATCTCGCTGAACACGTACAACATTTATAACATTTTGACCTGCATATACTTGTTGTCCGAATCCTCCGATCATCCGATCATCCGTCATCTCATTATATCTCGGCCGCAGTCAACAGGAACATGTCTTCAAAGCACTTTCGTATAGATGAGCACAAGCTAGAAGCATCACATATCCGTGGCTTCCCACGCTCCACATCGACGAAGCAGGAAGAAGTCCTACATCTCGCCGTCAAGCAATACACACCTCTCGACAACACGAGCCCGAAACCTGGAGACATCACCATCATCGCAGCGCATGCGAATGGATTCCCGAAAGAGCTGTACGAGCCACTATGGGATGAGCTCCTGAAGAGATGTCAGCAAAATGGGTTTGGCATCAGAGGAATTTGGATAGCAGATGTCGTGCACCAAGGCATGAGCAGCGTTCTGAACGAAGATAAGCTAGGCAATGACCGTATGTACATTTCTTCAACTGCGCGATTGATACGCTAATTCTACGTAGCGGCATGGCTTGATCATAGCAGAGATCTACTTCACATGGTAAACATCTTCCGCGACCAGATGCCTCGCCCGATAATCGGCGTAGGCCATAGCATGGGCGGCTGCCAACTCGCCAACCTCGCATTGCTGCATCCACGTCTCCTCGAGACACTAATCCTCATCGACCCCGTCATCCAAGGCAAAGTCTCACTAAACGGCAACGTCGGACCAGCCGCCGCATCATCACGACGACGCGAGCGCTGGCCCTCACGCGAAGAAGCAGCCAAGAGTTTCGGCAAGAGCAAGTTCTACCAAACGTGGGATCCACGAGTCCTTGATCTCTGGGTGCAGTACGGTTTACGAGACGCACCAACAAAGTTGTTTCCCGACGCGAAGAAGCCCGAGGTAACTCTGACGACGACCAAGCACCAGGAAGTAATGACTTTCCTACGCCCAAACTTCACCGCAAGACCAGGAGACAAGGAACCGTCATCTGCGGAATTCACATTGAGCAACCCGAAATTGAACCGGAGGACGCATGCCGATATCACGCCGACTACTGAACCCCAGACGCCCTTCTACCGGGGCGAGAGCACCATCGTCTTCAACCAGCTACCATCAATCCGGCCATCGGTATTCTACATTTTCGGCCAACACTCTTTCCTCACTGATGATGCCGTCATCGAGGATAAAATGCGTCTGAGTGGGTCCGGTGTTGGCGGCAGTGGCGGACGCGCTGAAGGACGAGTAGCGAATGTCACGGTGCAAGATGCTGGGCATCTGATTCCGATGGAGAAGGTGGAGGAGAGTGCGGATCATATTAGCAAATGGGTCGGCCAGGAGATGAAGAGGTATTGGGATTGGGAACGCAAGACGGAGGAGGAATGGGATGGGAAGCAAGGCGTGGATAGGAGTGTGTTGCCTGAACGGTTTGTCGAGGAGTTGAACGCTTTGATTAAGCCGAGGGAGAAGAAGCCGTCGAAGCTCTGAATCTTAGACTGGTTGAGATGCAATTGGCGAGATGCCTTCAGAATCCATCTGTCTGGCCCGTGTATTGTGGATATTTGCATGGATAAACTTTCCCTAGCACTTTCACATCAATTCTACCGACACCTCATACCCCAACACTCATACATCTTCAATCTTTCTTACTCTCCCCCCTCTCCGGATAATAACCCCCCGCAAATTCCAGACTCGCCCCCTCCCACCTCTCCGTCTTGACCTCCTTCCACGCACTCCACGGCCACCACCCCTCCCTCACCCATATCCTCGCCTCAATCGTCGCAATAAAACTCTCCCTACAAAAGTTCGCCCGATGCCCATCAGGAAACGGACTCGCCAGGCCGAACCAACCCGGCTCCTTCGGCGCACGCGCCTTGAGTTCCAATTTATGTGTGTAATTCGACACGGATATCGAAAAAGTGCGGGTGTCCCAGTCATTCGTGGCGCTCATGAAGGGGCTGAGGAGGTTGAGATACGAGACTGAGAAGGGCGGTACAAAGTCCAGATTGAGGGATGGAGACCGGTATCCGAGCATGTAGGCGGTGTTGTACATAATCTTCCCGCCCGCGAGACAGATGCCGCGTTTTTCTTCGTTGTCCCAGGCTTGCACCCACATGTGTGCGTCCGGGAAGCTGTTCGCCCAGTTCTTCTCTTGGTGGATCGTCGCACGGCTTTTTCTGTCCTGTGCTGGGAAGGCATCGCCTAGAGCGGGTATGTCGAGGGTGAACGTAGCGGGGGAGCAGAGAGAATGCACGTGCCAGTGGAGTGGGAAGGGGAGGTGCACCATCCAACCTTCGGGTGTGCTCTTGTCTTTTCTCCATGGCATGTAGTCCTCCTCGCATTGCGCTTCGAGCGACCAACTTCCATCTTCGGCGGCAAAGTTGTAGCTTGTGCGGCCGTTGCCCTCTGTGCTCATCACTCCCATGCCTGGTACGCGTAGGTCGAATGCTTTGGTTTTTTCGTCGGTGGTCACGCGCTCGATGTTGTCGACGAAATGCTCGCGCTGGAATATTGGATGGCCTGATGAGGGGTAGTATGTGAAGGAGACCATGTGTGGGCGTGATTTGGCACCGGGAACGGAGCATATTATCAGAGCGATGTGCGAGCCAGATGCGAGATCGAATTTGGAGTAGTAGCCCTCGAATTGTGAGGATGGGTGAGGGGCGAAGTGCTCCATGGTGGGTTGCCAGTAGATTGGAACCTCAGAGTGGTGGTTATAGAGGATTATCGACTGTATAGTTGCGGGTTGTTTGTGTTGATGAGTTGGCGTGAGTAGTGATGTTGGTAGGTTGGTAACTCATGACGTAGGCAAATATTCGGGTTGGCATCTTGCATCCAAGCCATCACACATTTTATGTTACACATGTCCCAGCGATAGATGCTGCTGAAATAGTACACCTTAGCGTATTCTCATTCACTACGTTCGAATGCGCCAGCTATCGGACTCGATATATGTACCCACAACTACAAAGTTCGTGCAACTTCCCTTTCCACAATGGATGAGAAGCACAAAACCTTTCTCATGCATTTCAAGTGGTGTAATTGCAGAGCTACTTGACTCCATAGTAAGATTGTGCAAAGGTTTCTTGGGACTTTGGAACCTCAGACAATGGCAGCTAGGATGATGTCCGCTTACGTTGGTTGTGCTACTCGCGTGAAGCTCTTCGTTTAGAACGTCATGCACCGCAGCAACAACATAGCAGTTTCTCAAACACTCAGGATGTATCCTGTTCTGGTATCTTCGCTGTGGTATACGTTTATACCATGTCTACAAACGTCAGCGTATCGGAAGGCGAAGTGTATTGCATGGAGACATACATCCTATCAAAGGTTGAATCCATTCGGCCCAAGGCTCGCATGATCATATGTACCGGAACATGTTGTTCTTCACGCTTCTTTTCATTGAGGCGGGCTTTCCATCCTCATATTCGATGCCGGCTTCTCCTCCCTCGCTGTCATGTCCTTGCAGCTTTGCCATCACCTCGGCATCGAGCTCAGCTTGTGTCTTTTTCTTGGGCTTTGTCTCATCGGACAGTTTGGTATCGACCTTTTGAGTATCGCCTTTCACTGGAGTTGAGGTGTTGGAGCTCGCATCGGAATAATTCCTGTTGTATGTGACTGAGGGTAAATTTTGTCGGCAGGACGCTGTTGAGGATGGTGTGGTGAGAAAATGCATGGGAACGCGCCCCGTGATTTGTCGTAGAGACACCATCGCGGCGGGAATATGTGACCAAGAGAGGGTGTAGTGAAATCGTAGCAATAGGACTATGGGAAGATGGAGATGATGGATTTACGTCACTGTGACCGCGGTCGTCTGGCGCACGTGAAAGTCTGGTGCCTGCGCCGCGACTGCATTGTGTGGATCGCTCTGATGACTTCCCTCCAGAGGAGGACCGCGCATTAATATCACTAACCGCTGGTCTCAACTCCACGTCGTTCTGCAAGCTATCCGGACTTCACTTTGCTGTTTCCACGCGGTGCTTGCGACTGCCAAGACGCTAGTGGCTGCAGCCCATTTTCAGTTTCGCGATCGAGGATACCATCGCTCACGACACGCGCGCCAACCCACGATACCCCCCGGAAGCCATCCAACATGGTCGTCACATCTTCCTGGTCCAACGTCGAGGACGAGGTCTTGAAGGCCGCCATCAGCAAGTATGGGCTGAACCAGTGGTCGCGATGCGCCTCGCTGCTGTCCAAGAAGAGCGCGAAGCAATGCAAGTCGCGCTGGACCAACTGGATCGACCCCGCTATCCGGAAGACGGACTGGTCGCGAGAGGAGGATGAGAAGCTCCTGACTATGGCCAAACTCCTCCCCACCCAATGGAGGACTATTGCGCCCATTGTTGGACGAACGGTACGCTGTCGCGAATATCCCTTTTTTCTAGTATCATGCTAACTTTCCGCAGGCTACTCAATGTCTCGAGCGCTACCAAAAGCTGTTGGACGAACAAGAAGCGAGGGAGTCTGGCGATCTTGGACTGGCGGGTCCGGAGGGTGGAGACTCAGCTGCTCCTTCAGCAGACGATGTACGTCGTCTTCGCCCCGGAGAAGTCGACGCCTACGCCGAGAGCCGACCTGCGAGACCCGATGCGGTCGATATCGACGAGGAAGACAAGGAGATGCTGTCAGAGGCGCGTGCGCGTCTGGCAAACGTCAGCGGTAAGAAGGCCAAGCGGAAGGCCCGCGAGCGCCAACTTGAGGAATCAAGAAGGCTTGCCTTGCTTCAGAAGCGGCGAGAGCTGAAAGCTGCCGGTATCAACATTAAGATTACTCCGAAGAAGGGCAACCACATCGACTACAACGCCGATGTACCGCTCGAGAAGGAAGTCCCCGCCGGCTTCTTCGACACCACAGAAGAAATCGACCGCAACGAACAACAACGAGAGGCCTTCGATCCGCGAAAGCAACAGCTTGCGAACAAGAGGAAGATGGAATCGCAGGAAGACGGAGGAGGTGACAGAAAGAAGAAGAAAGATGAGAAGTCAGGAGGTCTTGCAGCGTCGTATGCTAAGGCCGCACAAGCGCAGAGGATACGGGAAGCAGAACAGAGCAGCAAGCGACGCGGTCTCGTGCTTCCAGCGCCGCAAGTCGGAGAGGCCGAGTTGGAAGATATCGTCAAGATGGGAACGACTGGACAGCGCGCAGTTACTGCGGGCAGCAGCGACAACATCGCAACACAGGGCCTGATCGGGAACTACTCGAACGTGATTGGCAACACACCCATTCGCACGCCCATGGCCCCCAAAGAGGAGGACTACGTCGCGAATGAGGTGCGGAATGCCCGGATGCGAACAGAGACCCAATCTGCTTTGCTAGGTGGCGACAACCCAGATCTCGTAGACGACGAAGCACCCGCCTCGCTATCAGGACCCGCCTCACGACACCAGATTGTGACACCAAACCCCATGGCAACGCCTTTCAGGCAAGCAAATGGCGGAGCCGGAGAAACACCCATGCGCCAGGGACCGGGAGCGACACCCATGCGAACACCACGCGATACACTACGCCTCAACGGAGAGGAGAGTGGCATGCAACTTGTTGGCCAGACACCCCGCGATATCAAACTAAGGGAGCAAGCGAAGCGGCAAGACCTGAAGAGCAGGCTCGCTGCGCTGCCAAAACCCAAGGAAGAAAGCTGGGAGTTTGAGCTTCCCGAAGAGCAGGCAGATCACATGGAAGTCGAAGTCAGCGAAGAAGACGCTGCTGAGCGCGACCGAAAAATTCGTGAAGCACGCGAAGCCCAGGAAGCCGCAGACTTCGGCAGGCAAAGTCAAGTCGTGCAGAAGTTCCTTCCAAGGCCATCGCTGGTCGATATTGATGTCATGATGAAGCGCGCATTGGACCTCTCTGACCCTGTCGAACGCGAAGTCGAAATCGAGATGGCTAAGCTCATCGCGAACGACGTCCAGAAGTTCGGCGATGGCCGAGTAACTGGTTCAGTAACACGTCTCGATTCCATGACCGATGATGCTCTCCGAAATGCCAAGATGGAGCTCGCGCTTGAACTTGCCATGACCTCAGACAAGGACAAGAAGGCCTTCCACGCCGAGCTCGACAGTTCCTGGACCACGCTTCACGGTTCCGCAATGCTGCCCGGCATCGCAGGCTACGAGGAAGACGAGATCGACGAACACCAACTGCTCGTCGAAGCCTTTGACAACGCACAAGAGTCCATCATTGAAGCCGCGGAACGTGCGAACAAGATCGAGAAGCGATTAACAACACATCACGCCGGCTACATCAAACGATCAAATCTACTACGAGAGAAGATCAGTGGCGCGTTCTCAGCACTCGAGCGTGCAAGGGACGATTTGAACACAGCGAGGACGGCGCAGTACAGCGAGCAAGATGGCATCGCACGCAGACTGGAGAGCCTGCGCGAGGAAGTTCAGTTCGTTACTAAGAGGGAGAGGGAAGCACAGGAGCTGTACAGGAAGCGAAAGGAGGAGTTGGACAACTTGCAACAGCCTGTCAATGGCGTACACTAAGCGGTTTTGTGGGCAGACACTTTGGTCTAAGCCTGTGTTTTGATATGATTAGGGGAATGGCGGAGGGTTGGTATGCATTGGCGTGGCGTTGGAAATTACACGGCAGATACATATTTTTTGAGACTGCTTTTGGAGAGTGAATGTCAATACTATGATACACCTCAACTGAAGTGTTACTCGTGATTATGTAAATCGTGCTGATCTATCGACGGAGATACCAAACTCACAACTACTAAACGGTTCGTGGCGTCAGGTACCAAGAATCTTATTTCTTTGACTTGCACCCAATATTTAAGCTCTGCTCTAAGGGTATACATACATCATGTTACATTCTGCAAGCACGTTGCCCGACATGCCCGCTAGTACCTGTACCTAATATCCGAAAATGCGAGGCTGCCCATGGTCTCGCCATTGACAGCTCACAAGCTTTGAGCTAACACCGCATGAAGGCCCAACGCTCCAACTCTCAGAGCCTCACCTGCATACTTCGCACGAGCGTCACAACAACAAGATGCAAATGCGCAAATTGCAAAGTTGATAATCAATGTTGAAAGAAAAGATTTGATCGTATTGCATAATGTCTGCCGTGGTAAAGTACCCCCCAGTCCAATCCAGTCCATTGGGGTATAAGAAAGAAGCAAACCAAGCCAATGTCCATGTCGAAGAGATGACACGTACAAAGAGAACGCCTTTGACACGTCACCGTGAGTACCCAATCTAATCGAAAAAGCAAGACCCATCCACACACGCACACAACGATGCGTGGTGATGGGAAGATGAAAACGCCCCATTAAACAGTTCAGTCATAAACATGTTCAAGCATAACCCAATCGAACAAGCGCCAGCAACAACAAGTCGTATGCGTCTAGCACTTCCCGTCCAACACCTCAAAGATGCCGACAACATGCACCTCACTCGCGCCGCGACCCATGCTCGGTCTCGGCTCGAGGACATCGAGTTCGGTTTCGAACAAGTGCTTCTCCTCTTCCATTTCGAACTCGTACACGCTGGGCTTGCGGCGCACGGCGAGGAGTTGGCGGATGGAAGAGCCGGAGGAGCGGTGGCTGTGTGGCGATGAGTTGCGCGTCAGCGGCGATGTGGTGCTGGAGGTGAAGATGGAGGAGGGCGATGCCGAGCGCAGAGAGTTGCGGGTGGGGCTGAAGGCGGTCTTGAGGCGGCGGAGGGA